AATTTTTAGATAATGAAACCGCCGCCAAATCCATTGGATGGAGGATCTTATAAACAAAAAAACAAAACTTGCCCAAACTTCAGTCACAGTGTAGAGAGTGAGCTGGTCAGTCATACGCTGACGGAGGCGGAGGCCTTCCATAAATTGTATAACCAAAGTAGAGGCGGTCTTGCGGAAGGCGGTCACCTCATCTCGCGTGTAGAAATGATTCTCTTCGCTCCGCTCCGCCTGAGATTGAAACATGAAATCAGACCCACGAATGAGCCAGTTGACTCGCGGGAGGACCAGATAATCCGGTGGCAGACGAACGAACAGGGGAGGCACCTGACAGGGCATCAACTAAAACACAAGTCGTGTTCCATCTCTTAGCTCTTGGTGTTAGCGAAAAATTTGACAAAAGAACAAAGCTTCCGCATAAGGACACTAATGTGATGCAGTTGATTTAGAGGCAAAATGAACACGTTTATTCATCCGCGGGCAAAGGTTGGTTGAATGAATCGACAGCGCAGCCCCATGTTTAGAGAAGGCAGTGGGAATTCACTACAAATACTAAGCTAACTAAAGATTAGTTGTGGCGACAGAAAAAAAGGCGCTATAAGAAAAAAGTACTGTAAATAAATCCTTTACATTGAAGAAAGAAAGCAAAAACCTCCAGTGAAGCCCAATCGAATCATTAATTGTTAAAGTAAATTATTCGACAAGAAAACGCGGCTATCAATACTTCTGAGCAACTCGTAGGAGTAATTGCAGGATGCAGCAGAATTGAGTTTTAATTGCGCATTTAACGATGAAGCGGCATGCGCATGTTGAACCCAATTCATCGTAAATCAGCACAAAACCGTCATATACCTCAGCTTGTCGTTTTAGCTATAAATTGAAGGGTAATTATTGCAGATTAGATGACTAACTCGAGTGATTTTGGCAATCTACCCATTTTCTTGTTGAGTAACGCTAAAATGGAAACCAAACATGACTTAAGCATTCCAGCCATACATCTGCTGCCAATCGACCAGTAAGTTCACGCCATGCATATGTAAACTACTCAGAAATTATTTGAATACACAAATACAGCGAAATAGAGTAGGCGGACAATTAGCTAACCTTGTCAGTGAATAAAACTTTAAAGTGAAGACTGCTGTTCCACTCTGCCACATCACGGCAAGTGACGTGGTTTTCCATCTCTTCCATACTGGGATATCCACCAGCAGACATTGTGGAGCTCTGTTGTGGATGGGCCAGTGAAATTTCCACCCCCTCAAGGCTATCCCTAATACGACTCAGCTCCTGCCGCAGTCGGGGATTCACATCCTCCATGCTAAGGTGTGCATCCATCGCCGACTTCCCGCTGTACACAAGGCGATCTACCACCATCGAAGATGGTAATTAATACCCCATAAGCGATTAAATTGTTACTTTTTTTATCAGCAGAGATTTGCTTTGGCGAGATTCGTTTCCACGAGTACAGTTAATGCAAATGAAGGTCATTAATCATCAGAAAAACAGCTCACCAATGCTAGGAACAAACGCACAAGACGAACTAACCTTCAGCGCCAACATAAGTCTAAAGTGTAAAAAGAAGCAAAAATTGAGCCCAGAAATGTCTAACTTTGTCTTTGCAGCTGAATCTTCCGACTTTCACCTAACATTAAATACACAGGTAATGTATTTTCAATAAGTTAACACTACTGTAATGCGCATTAGTAGAAGGACTGACGGTTGCAAAAGAAACATACGGGCGCTTCCTCCGCAGTCTGGCGCCCGATATCTACTTTCGGTCGTTTTGAGTCGAACGTTTGTTTGCTACTACAAACACTACCAGAGTCGCCCTCAATTTTCATCCCTCCTCCCACAGACTTGCATCCAATGAAAAAATCCATTTCGTCTTTCTCCAACGATTCCGCCTTGATACCCACCTTTCCCACAGGCAGAGAACTTGGGAAAATGTCCCGTGGTAGCATGTGCCCTGTTGTCGCACGCAACTCACGCGTCTCTTCTGAAATCTACAAAAAAATTCCCTGGTGCTTGCAAATCCACTGATTCTACCTAGTCTGAACGAACCCTTGTGATCTAGTGTGATAAACTCACCTCGTCCATTGCTCGAGAGAAGCGCACTCTACCCACCTGCTTCTCAAGTGCCACAAATTCCTTTGCCAATTTATCCATAGCAGCCTGAAAAGGGTCGACAGGGATCTGGTGAGCTTGTTCCGATGTTACTAGCATTTGTTGTTGCTGTTGCTGAATGTGCCGAGCTGCGGCGACAGATTGAGGCGCCATTTGGCTTGGAAACGAACATATTGCAGCTTCAGGAGGGTCCACTGGCTGCGACAAAAGAGAATTTAGACTCGAAGATGTGGCTGTTAAAACAGAGACGAAAATTCGTTTGACGGACATTTCTACCATTGCGTTCTTCAAAAAGCTACAACTACTTTTCTGAAACCCAACTTTCATCCTTACGTACCAAAAAAATTAGCAACGTTCGTTTTACATTTATTAAGGAACGACTTTCAATGAAAGTAAAATTAAGTTCAAAGAAATGAATGTCTAGTTTAATAATAGCAAGCCCTTACAGTATCAATTTAAAAGTGACATTCTTCCCGCAACAAATTTACGTTAAAGTCAAGAACCATTAACGTATCAAGGGTCCACAAGTGCAGAATAAAATTTACCGATAGTGGGTCGAATTCCAGGAGGCACAAATCGTTGAGCTGGAGCCACTCTCTTTTGAGCAAGCAATTTTTGGCGCGTTTCTTCTGAAACAGAACCACTACCACCGACCACCACAACACCCTGGTGTTGTTGTTGTTGTTGTTGCGCAGCGCGCTTTCGAAGAAGATGGAATGGATCCTGTTGAAGCTGGCGAATTAACATTTCAATTCGACCAATATTTTGCGGCGGAATTTTGTCCTAGAACGTAAAAAGAACAATTTCCGCCAAACTAATAGATAGGAATGGCATCGGTGAACAGAGCTACTCACCCTTTCCAAGAAGGCCTTGAGTTGATGATAGTTTTTCAAATCTGCATCCGGCTGATGAATGCGAACATGTTGTATTGCACTTTCCAGCAACATTAAATACCGCTGCTGCTGTTGTTGCTGGTCCGGCGCGGCCGGTCCGACAGCACCAGGTGACGTAGCCGTCGTCGTTGTCGAGACGTGGATTGTCTGAGCTCCAACGGCTGAAATCAAAGCACAAGCTGAGATTGAAGGCAATAATAGCAGTAGGGATGAATGTAGAATCATTACGATCTTTCAGCTGCAGCGCCAACGTACTCACCATGTTCGCTGGGCTGTTGACATTGTGGCTGTACCATGGTGTTCGTTGATGACCTAACTGGTGTCTGACCTCCACCACCGCCACCGCCCTGTGAGACCAACGCTTGTTGGGAGGGGATAATTTTCATAGTAGGGCCGTTGGCACGAGGCTGTGGTACCACTATACGTTGTTGTTGCTGCGCTTCCGCCGGAATGAAGTGCTGCTGAGTGCCCACTTGCACTTGGTTCGACTGCGTTACCAGATGCATTGCCTTAGAAAATGCCAACAATTGGTCCCATAGTGCCTTTTTAAACTGAGCTGAGGAACCCATAACACAAACCAGCCAATAATCCTTAGCCACTCGAATGTGTACAAGGTGCCCACACACTACGAAAGACAAGAGTAGATCGTAACAGCGCTACAAACTGACAATATGAAAACTATATGGTTTTGAAAAATGTTGTCTAAACAGAGGGATGATGATAACGATAGTGGGGTGATTGAATGATAGACGTACCGACGCATTGTTGGTATTTGAGATGAAACGAATAGGAGCATTGGTAGTAGAAATTGGTGGCTGAACACCGGGTGCACCAACACGCAGTGTGGTGCTATAGACGGGCTGCTGAACACCTTTAAAGGAACAAGGCCAGCTTAGTAATTGCAACGTTCAAGTAGCTACTTCTACAGATACCTACGCATAGAATTATACTAAAACACCAAGAGCAAACGTTGTAGTAGTGGTTATAGTAGTCCCCACATATTAGGTTTTACAGACGAACAAAAGGGGATTCATGTAATGACTGCAAACATCTACGTTCCATATGCATGCGTTCGACGCCATTGCAGCCACCAACTGAAAGCAAGTGCTACCAATTTTGCATAACTGTCATGACGATCAATACAATTCTGCACTCATTGAATACCCTTCATGCATGAAATGGCCAATAAAAACAAGCCCTCTAATAAAGTACATGAATCCATTTGTCAAGATGCTGTCCGATGAACTAAGCCCAAACGAACAAGTCAATGAACCTGACCTAGTTTTAGACAAAGGATACTCTGCTACGCCGCTAATTCGACCAAGCTAGGAACATTTCAGATGGAAAGGAGCACGAAAATGGTGGGAAAGCGAAATTATGCAAACACAGGAAGCGCGGACGACCTCAGCAGTAGCACAGAAAACTAACCTTGAATGATCACTGCAATCACGGCACAAACGAAAAAGAATAATAAAGGGACGGATAAGTTTGTAACCAAAGGTTGTGGGACACCGCAAGTGGGTGGCGAAATGGATGCTATGCTCGTCAAACTGGAAAGTTGAGCCGTTGCACGAGCAGTTTTATGGCAACTCATAGCTGAAAACCTAAACTCTAATCCTGCATAACTACGTGGAGCGCGCAAAATCAAAGTAAGGCCTTGACAATATGAACGCATACGCACACACACAAGGCCAGATTCAACATTAGACAACCAGTCGTGAAGAGCCTGAATTAAATGCTAACATCTTATCTGCTTAAACGTCTGATTGATTGTAAATCAGAGCACTTTCAGAGATATTAAGAGCAAGTTGTTAAAACAATATTTTTTTCCTATGGAGGTCAAATAAAACAAGAGTAATTGCCTAATAAACACGAAGAGCGTTGAGCACGCAAGCAAACTTAAAATTATTTCCAGCAAAAAAAGTAATTCAGGAACACGCGTACACGTGAAATTGGAAGATGATACCACTGTTAACGGAGGTAAAGTTGGGAGCAAAAAAATGTGTTTTAAAAAAAGAAGATTATCTAACAGGGTAAAAATGTCAGCACACCGCAAGACAACAAGGCAAGGATTCTACGCCCAATTATTTGGAATAAGAAATGATCAAGATTCGCTGTGCTAGAAGGCAATGCAATGAGGCCGAGTATACGAGGAAAATAAGCCCACAAATTAGAAGAAACCCTACCAGAACGTCGTCTCATCTGGCCTAAAAAGGGTAAGCAATCACAAAAGTGAGGACGATCACCGTCAAGGATGATTAAAGGCAGAATATAAAAGGGGACACAACTCCTTGGTTCCGAAAAATCACTCACCCGGAGCTCCCATTTGAAATATTGGCATTGTAGGCAGGTGTGCATTACCCTGTTGCCCATAGCTATAACGTTGATAAGAGATTTGGATGTAAGAGGTCTGGATCTCCCAGACACCCAATTCTTCCTTATAAATGCCAATCAGAACATCCAACTCGCCTCGTTACCATGGGTCGCTGTTGATCGATCATTCCTACTTGCATGCCGTGACTCGCATCAGTCGTCATATAGGTGGTCTGTGATTGTGGCTGCGGTTGCAACACACCCTGGGGTATCACATGAACTTGCTGAGGCATTTGCCCTCCCGCTGACATCTGCAACAAATCATGATGCAAAATTTCGCATAAAACGACGGTTTTAAGCCAATTACTGGGAGCAAACTCGAGCTTTACCAACGGAGATCACATTCAACCATGAGATAATGAAAGCCGGAACAGAAAATGCTTAGACTACAATACAGTACTAGGAGGAAAAGATAGCATATCTGCAAATGCAGCATAAGGAAAAGCAAACTCTTGAGAAGAAGATGCAAAGCAAGCCCCAAGAGCAGATTTGCTGCTGATCTCAGCAACGATTAGAAGACAGAAGTATTCAAGACTTGTTCAAAATGCATATTTTACCTTAGTATCTCTGATTGGATAAAATGCTCTTATTCTTACGCGAGCCTGTCCTCCAACGAAGGGTGCGACGGGTTGATCTACAGCCATTTGACCAGTCTTAACAATCTGCGGCCGTTGCATACGAACAATGCCTGGAGCTTGAGGCATGTGCACTGACATAGCATGACGAATGACTGGTTGCGGTCTCATTTGCGGCTGCATTGGAGGCTGCATTTGGGGAAGCTGCACTTGTGATGGAGCACCCATATGCATTTGAGGTTGACCATCGGGACCTGAGCCAGACATCGAATATGGATCTAAGAAGACACCAGTCCAAAACGCATTTAGTGCGTCGACGATATCTGTTCAATAGCAAGTAATCAAAAACCACAAAATAACTTCGCGCACCAACCCAAACGACGCTACCTGCGCTATTGACACGTTTTCAGAGAGAGCGCGAGAATGCATATTATGTAGTTAAATGCCACCTATTTGCACTTAATTAGTTTAGAACTAAAAGTTTCAAAATCGCTCGCAAAATTATTGAAACATTTTGCAAAATTAAAAATTAAATTTCTATTTTTGGCTTGATTGCTTATTCTGGGTTTTATTTGAATTTGTAGCAAGCAGAATTCTATAAAATGTGACGATGATTAAAGCAATACCCCAAGGACGAAAAAAATATCTCATAGTCAACCATGGTAGAAGAGGACTTCCGGACTTCCAAATTCAACCCTAGGTTAATTCGAGATCTTTGATCACAATCGTATGAACACTTGACATAGGCAGAATGTCGCAGACAACATACATAGCAGCCAGATATTGATTGTGTAAAGTTCCTGTCATTAAATTTTTATTAAAAACAGATGTCTTATAGGTCTCAATGCGCGTGATATTTCGAGTATGAACAATCGACTCTACAAACAACCTACTCTTTCTTTCCATGCCATCAAATTACAGTAGATTAACAGTAGCAGTTTATTCCGACAAAATACGTCCATCCTTCTGCCTATTTCTGATGCAAATGGACATCAATTATAGAACGAGCATTTCAACCATGTTTAGCACCTTTAAACTGCGACACTTAACTTCTTACAAGGTGAATCACCTCCACTCCCTTTTTGGTTATGGATGCAGAACTTTACGTTCATTTGCATGATATCAACTTAACGTGAGCCATCTGTGGTGCTTCGTTTATGTGGCCGCCGGACGCTTGGCGGTCACTATAAGATTTGTCTGGCCTTCGGACCAAGCTCAGGCCCGATTACTTTGCTCCCCTTGGAGTACATACATCCAGATCCACTTATTTCTTCTTTCACCCGGCGGGAAGTCTCGGGACGCTACACCATTGACTCCCTAGTGCGTCCGCCTATACACTCCATATTTTTCTTCAAAATAGGATTTCTATGCCATTAAAAATTTGCCCATTTTTGAGCGCTGTTAACTTTTGAGCCATGATTAAAGACATCTGTCATAGCCCTTCATCTAATTTGTTGCCCCAAATAAAAACTATAAAAAAATTCAAAAGCCTAGAATGATAAATGCCACCCAAGTTGCAGGCCCTGCTGACGAGTGCAGCGTTCCGAGGCTTCCCATAGGGTGGAAAAAGGCATAGGTGAGGTTGAATACACGTATTTCGAAGACGACAGGGAAAATGGGCCTGAAGACGAGCCCACGTGTACAGGGGCCAGACAAATTCTACAGTGACCGCCAAATGTCAGGTAGTCACATAAACAAAGCAGTACAACGAGTACCACACAGTGTTGTTATGGTATATTGTCAATGTCAAAGGATCGGTTTCGATTTAGGCATTTTTACTCACCACTTGACAAAGCAGTACTGGGTATGGTTTGAGGGCGAGCGGTTGTAACCATTGCCAAAGTCCACCTACCTACTCCATCTGCGCCGTAAGACTTCAAGTGGTAACTATCTCGAACAAGACGAGTCGGTATCACGTGCTTACCTTGGCCATTCAGTGTTTTCATTGTCTCCTCAACATTCAGTCACTTTCTTTAGCCAAAAAGTAATGAGAACTGGGTAATTATTGCATCAATGTTGCCCAGCAAATCATTACTAGTCAGATTTCAGATTCACAAGTAACAGTAATGTAAAATCAAAACGTTGAAGACTGACAAACTGTGTGAGGCAAATTCAAATGTAGGGGCGAGAGACTTTCTCTTCTTTAGAGCACAAAAGTCGAGCAAAAACGTTTGCTTAGCTTTATACATGATGGCGCCTTTGTAGCAAATCAATGCTAAATTTGTGTTAGGTTGCATCAGGCAAGCGCCTCACTTGCTAAGGCTGTAAAAAAATGAAATTCTGTTGGATAGTCGTAGACAAGAACATATACAACATTGTCATAGAATTCGCAGCAAAATTTTAACTTGGTTAGGAAAGCGGAATACCGAAGAGCACCTGGAGTTTGCTATGTATCGGACAGGATAGGCGAAGTCAAAAATATCCATGTCACCTCAACATGGATATCCGATCAAATAGATAACAGAAAGCCATCCGATAATTTCTCAAAAGCTCCAGTTGTTCTTCTGTAGGTTGCAGGCCTGAAGTAAAGACCTAAGCTGGTTGTTGCGGCATCCCAGCAAGCCCGGGTCAATAACTTGCTAACAGCATGCTCCATTTGATCAGGTTAAAATGTTACCATTTATGCGAGCCTTTTTGTTCTCATTATGCAACCAGCTCGTTTAAAGAGAACGATCGGAATGTAACTAATCAGTGTAAGAGGTTTAAAGCAAACGGAAAATATCCAGCAGCCAACACAGCCTTTTCGATTAACACGATGCAGTAGCCATCTGAACCGAGAAAGGTATCATTCACTAGGACCTCTCCACCATTGTAAAAGAGGATCACCTAACATCTTCGAAGCTTTCCTGCCTACACCAACTCGGCGTTTCGTAGCATAGACAAACGATTCTCCAAACTAATATCAGCTTAGTAGAACTTGAGGAGTCGTGAGAAGTTATTCAACATGATCTCTTTTTGTTTAACCATAGGAGACTTATAGTGGGAAAGATGTTTGAAAGTAGTCGAGAATTTAGGCTACTCATTTTTATGCAGGAAATGCAAGAAATGGAGTCTTTGCCGCTACGTATAATGCTAATGGAGTCTCTGTGTCCATCATAGGGGTTTATGCCTTTAATAAACGAAATGAAATTAGTGATGTAATAAATTAGAAAATCAAATGAGTTATTAGGGCAACGGGAACTACATCTACACATTAAACTCGACTATCATTACTGAATCACGTGTTTTGGAAACTTTCAAATGTCTTGTTAATTTTAAGGTCTTCGGTTGAGCTTTTTCGAGTGATGAATTTAACCAATATTTTGTTAAATTTTACAAGCATTACATGGTCTAATAAGGTAATGTGATTATTTCGCAAGCATGATAATCAGGCAGGTTCTTACCACAAATAATTGACGTCGAGCGTTTCACTTTAGAATTGTTATATATCATAGCTGAAATAACCACCTCATTTCAACAACCTGTAGACATTTAGCAAATTAGCGCATCTTCTTATGCCAAGATTTTATTAACACCATTTTAGTTCACTTCCTTCCCAAAGTGTGTAGTATTCCCACTACATCGTAAGCCGTAAAATGTCTGATAATTATTGCAGTGGTTTGAACAGACTCATGCATTACGCGAACACTTAATTTTGGTGTGGTATAGGGATGATCAGTACCATACATACTGGGAGAGCGTGTTTTGGAGATAACAAAGTGACGTAACAATCTAGAAGACTGATCCCAACGCGGAATAACCGTGGAAAGGAGCTGCATGATCAAGAACCCCATGCAGCGCAGGGATGAATCGCATTTCCATTGGTACACGTCCGTTCCTTGCCTCTCATCCACTTCACGATGCGCTAGCAGGACTGTAAGGGATTAACGAAGTGTCATTTGCATTGCGTTAGGATATGCTTCTACCAATGGGCCGATATCATAATCAGGCCGATGGATAGATAACCAATCTCCCCACCTGAGGTTTGGTCGGTAGCTCGTCGAAGTTTCACTTGAGGCTTTTGCATGGACTGCATTTTATTGCACATCTTTTTAGTAATTCATCCCAGAACAAAAGTTTCGTACAAAAAACGACCATAGGGATCATGTGTTGCCGAAGCAAATCAAGGACATCAACCACTTCGAGCATTAATTGAACCCAGAGGTTGTGGTAATTTCAAGGGGACGCAATCGATGCTACCTGCGGACCATGATAGCTTCGAACTTTCAGGCTAGTGACGGCCCAAACATACATCCCCTCCGCCTGGCAGATCTGATCCCCTAACCACTTTCCACAACCAGACTGGAAATCTAATGGAAGGGCAGATAAGTTGCTGAACTTTAACTTGGCAGCGTTGCTTGAAGGCAATGGTAATTATGGTATTTACAAACCTAATTCCCTTAATGCCAAACATCAACGCAACTCGGGGTAAACTAATTGCATGCAGAAAATCAACTAACATCATTTTACGTAGTTTTCTTCAGAAGGCCATCTCTCACTATCTTGACAACAAAAAAACTGTAGGAGTCGGATCCTACAATCCCATCCGCACAAAAATTGGAGTGTTCCTAACGGTAGTGGGCAAAAACGGGCCTCCGAACCGTGTTATAAAAGAACAATCTTCTGCACATACAACCTGTATTTTGGCACTCACTAGAGAAAACTTTCGAGTTTGACCCAATTAAATGAAAGGGATCCATCGATGTCCCAAAACCAGGCAATGCACCATACAAAATATTTAAACCTGCCTGTTTGAATAGGTGTTTAAATACTCTTTGTGTACTACAAAAATTAAAAAGTTGGGTTTCTCGGTCGACAAAATTGTCAAATCGATTGGAGGTGACGATGTCACAAGCTCTTCGTCAGAGACGCAGAAGTGGAAGGTGGTTGAGAGGGAAGAGGGTTATTGGAGGTTCCGTTAGTGAGTGATGATGTAGAAGTAGCTGCTGTCCCTGGCGAGGCAGCGACGGTACCCGCAGCGGTGTTGGTAAAAGCGTTTGCAGCCACTGCGGCCGAGAGAGCCGAGTTAAGCGCCAGGGAACGGCTGGCCGAAATGGCGATGAGTGGGATGTGGTAGTACTTGCAGGGGATCCGGGTGCACCGACCTTTTGCAGCATCTCGGCACACGGTCACTCGACCCTGATTGACCTCGACATTTTCTGTAATTGATATAATCGAACTACTGCATGCAGTCCTTTGCATAACCTTTTCAATGCACAAAGTCGCTGCTGAAACAATTAAACTAGGCCGACCAAAGCGTTACCTCAAAAAAAAAAATTAATGCGACTCACAAGAGCTAAGGATCCTTTACGAATAGCATGAATAAATAGAAGAATATATTAAGGAAACCAACGCATCCTGCACTACCACATACACAAACACTCATCGGCTATTCGAAATTAACAACTGTGATTTGGCGTTTAAAAGTCTCTAGGATCCTTAGTCTAGAGAACTTCAGAGATGTGTTATACTAGCTCATCGGCTCCAGTATCCTACTTTCCGAATCTGCAAGCATGCTTCAGGAATGCTTCAAGAGGACTGTGCACAGTCGCGCGATGTAGTACCAAAGAACAACAGTCAAACCAGATAAAATGGTCACATTAACTGAGCGAATCACTCACCATCAATGAGATGGACGTAACGGCATTCGGTGTTCCTGTGACACTTTCCAGCTTTAAAATCGCGACAGATCGGAAGACTTTCGAGAAGCTAAAAATTAAAATTAGTGCAACATGAAAGTCAACATGAAAATACCCACCTTGAAATTAAAAGCCATTACAGCATGCAGAACCAGATCCAACCGCATAATTGCAGGATAAACTCAAATCGCGGTAACAACAATTTCCACCATGCAAGAGTAAAAGTGGGAGTATTTGCCATTGTGAGCACACTTGTGATGCGCAAAATTGCTGATGCATCACAACGCCAAACAGTGATCAAACAGGCCCAGAAACAAACTACCATACCGTTGAAAAAGCACACGGAATACGGACCAATTTATGACCCCAGTCAAGAGGAAGGACACGATGAACGATAATTGTCACCAACGCGGTCAACGTAGTGAGACTCCTACCCCAGTAACTATGACATCATTAATCTCCCAAAAAACTTGCTCTACTCTGTAAAGTTGCAATTTTCCATGCGATGATGAGCAGTTGAGCATAATCGAACAGTGCGTTGCCCCAAGTTTTAGTTTATCATGGCATCTTCAAATTAGAACCACCAGTAATGAAGCAAGTGGAGAGATTTCAAGGCACAAAGAGACTAGAACTTGAATTCAGAGCAAGAACTAAGGAGTTGATGAACGATTAACTCTTAATTCCTTCCTAAGCCCAATGGATCAGCATCCGCAAGCAAGCACTAGGGAATTCAACACAAACGTTTAGCCTTTTCTATTGAAACGGACCTGCCCTTCGTCGTTGATATAGGCCACATTGGTGAGTAGTGTTTGGCTTTGCAGCAAATTCGTGGCGTATGAGTTGGCAGTCAGGGTGGACGATTGAAAACCCACTATAAAACATAAAATACAAAAATATTAACCAGAACATTAAAGCGTTCCTCCCAGTCAATGAATAGACTGGACTGAACCTGTAAAACGTGTGCCTTTAGCTCAGAGCTATTTGACAGCAGGTCGTCAGAAAATCGTCAGTAGTGGTTTTTTCGTGAGGCAGAACAAAATTCATTACATTCAGTGAGGTAAAAAAATTTGCACATATATTTCTCAATTACTGTTCCGTTTGCTATGGCTGGTTATTGTAGTTTGGTGCATTTGTTCAACTCAGTAGGCGCCGGAGACATCCAACCAAACACCTCAGAAGATGCCTACTTCCAGACCAGTCATGCTAAAAAGAAGCCACGCATTCAAACAAATCAAGGTAAATACGTGTTACTGATCAAATTTAACCCATTGGACCACCTGTAAAGCCTAAAGGTGGATGGATTGATTGCTTTAACTCGAATCCAGGCAAACACCACGAGAGAACCTCCAAGTTAAGGAAAATTATCTTAGCGAGTGTTAGGGGTCACAAAGTGTGTAGAGGTGATAGAAAGCAGATTCTTATTGAAAAAGTAGAGAAGACTTTGCGATTGTTTGGCTGCCACATCATAACTTAAGGTAACCACATAAGTGCTTATACTTTTTACCAAAGGTTAAATGGTGTAAAGCAACGCACTAGAGTAGTGTGTACCTCGACATTCTCGAGCAACTCACCCATTGCTGGCGCTCCATACTAGTAAAAAGTTGAAATTGTCATCGTGA